AGCAACAAGATACAACGAAATTCAAACAATTTTTTTCAATGCGTCACAAACACATTGTCTGGCACATAAACATACATGAACATCTGGTGTACTCTATCATGTTTGATTTTATTATTTTAAAATGTTATGTTGATTAAAAATAAATAAATAAACACATGTTTTAAATATTTTTTTTTCACTCATGGCCCTATCGGATATAACTGACATGAACAAAGCAAAATTTTGGACGGTTCTCTAAATGTTTTTTTTTTTTTTTGTGATTTTTTATATACAAACATATTTGACGGTTGGATCGTTGAAACTAGTTTTGTAGAATGCATATCCTGTCAAATTGATAGATTTAACAAACATTTAAGAGTTAATGTTATACTTCCATTAAGTATAAAATAAGATTTATCCACTAGTGTAAATATTTTAAATTGAAGATCGAATTCATTCATTGCATTCTTATAGGGTCGAGGAGTGTAGCTGTAAAAAATCATCAAAATCGAAGCTAAAATAGCCGTTAAATTGTGATTTTTCATTTATAACCATCAAAAACTTTTGTTCCGTACCTAATATCTGAATGTTTGTTTTTTGCGATTTTTTACATATGCGATCTCGGAGTGTGTACAAACAAGTTTGACGGTTGGATCGTTGAAAAACGTTTCGTAGCATGCGTATCACATCAAAACGGTAGATTAAACAAACACTTAGAGTTAATGTTATACTTCCCCATCAAGTATAAAATAAGATTTTGTGGTATCCACTAGTTTAAATATTTTAAATTAAAGATCAAATTTATTCATTACATTCTTATAGGGTCGAGGAGTGTAGCTGTAAAAAATCATCAAATTCAGAGCTAAAATAACCGTTAAATTGTGATTTTTTGTTTATAACCGTCGAAAACTTTTGTTCCGTTACGTAATCTCTGAATGCTTGTTTTTTACAATTTTTTTACGTATGTAATCTCGGAGTGTGTACAAATAAGTTTGACAGTTGGATCGTTGAAAAAAGTTTCGTAGAATGCATATTGCGTCAAAACGGTAGATTAAACAAACACTTAGAGTTAATATTATACTTCTATTAAGTATAAAATAAGATTCCACTAGTGTAAATATTTTAAATCAGAGCTAAAATAAGCGTTAAATTGTGATTTTTTGTTTATAACCGTCGAAAACTTTTCTTCCGTTACTAATCTCTGAGTTTTATGTTTTTTTTTTTTTTGCGATCTTGTAGTATTTACAAACAAGTTTGATGGTTAAATCATGGGAACTAGTATCGTAGAATGCATATCTCTGTTAAATTTGCCTAAATTTTGAAGTGGGAAAAATAATTTGCGCTAAATTTTTATTTATGTTTTTCAAGTATTAGTTAGACAATATTTAGTTTGTTTATCGCATATTTTACATGGGTTATTATCTATTAAACCAAACAATTATTTATTTAATTTTTTAAAACGTATTCTATTTAAATACATATGATTTATTTAGGGATACTTTGGATGTGGTCCGTAATCCTTAACATTCTTTGATTAAAACCTTAATAGTATTCAAAGTTTGATCAATGTCCCTTGACTTTGTACACCTCATTATATTACTATTAATATTTTTATTTTTATAGTTTTGACATTAAATGTTTGATATTTTATGAGATTTATAATCCTATAATTTAAAATCCCTCATTATAATACTATTAGAAACGGTTACAATAAAAAAATTCAAACATTTTGATTGAATAAATGGATAAAAACTATGTAAAAATAAGAAATAATAAATGGCAAAAGAATGTATCCATAGTGTTAAAAAAATTGGTACATTTCACATATAACAAAGTGGTACATTAATAAAGAAGAATGGGTACATTATAAATAAATTAGGGTACATATAAAAGATTAAAAATTATGAGTACAAATGAATTTTTAAAAATATAGGCGCTAAAAGAAATTAATACATGGGTACAAAATAAAACTAAGAAGAAAATACTACAAATTTAAAAAAAAATGTTGCAAATTAAAAGTGGGTACAAACTAAAAATATAAATATATGATACAAAGTTTAGGCATAAAACATAAATATACCATATGTAATTTTTCTATCATTGATTAAATATACAATGTCACGTGACGGTATACACATGGGTACAAACACAAATAAAAAATTAAAAAATATGGGCACAAAAAGAAACTAATATATGGGTACAAATTAAAAATGAAAAGAAAATTGGTACAAATTAAAAAATATTTGCAAATTAAAAATAGGTACAAACTAAAAATAAAAATATATGATAAACAATTTAACCATAAATATAAATATACTAATTGTAACATTTTTAACACTAAAGGAATATATTTTAAAATAAAAATACTTTATTATTCAAATAATTAAAGATGTTATTAATACCCAAGGACCTTGATCAAAAATTGAAAATAGGATTTTAATCAATGGAGAAACAAAAAGAAGAATGTGAACCTAATTTTCCCATTTATTTATTTATTAAACCAAACGATTATTATTTTATTTTTTTAAATCGTAACAAAATTTTTTTTTGGGGGGGGGGGAGGGAATTTAAAATTTTGGAAGGGAATTTTGGGGGTATTTTGGCGGCCATATTTTTTTCTGTCGGTTATAACCGACAGTAGATGAAAATTTTCTGTCAGTTTGTATTTTAAAAAATGTTTCTGTCGGTTTTAACCGACAGTAATGAACATTTTCCAAAATAAAACCTATGAAGTAGCAGAAAAAAGAAATGGACGCTAAGCCATCTAGAAGAAGACTGAAAGCCCCAAACCCTCTCTCCGATTACACCAACACCATTTCCTCCACCACCACCCTTGCCAGTGCCACCTCTTCGCAGTCATCGTCCTCCTCCACCGTCAAGCTCAAATACCATAATCCCAAGCTCGCCTCCGTCACCGATTACCTCATCTCCGCTTTAGACCCTAAGCCCTCAGTAGTTCCGCCTCCGATACCCTCCACTCATCCTCGCCCTCATCCCGTCTCGTCCTCCGCTTCTGGTAATTTCTCTGCTCCGCTTTCGATTTCTCCGTTTCTCGCCTTGGGTTCGTGTGTGATTTCTGCTTTGTTCTGGTTTTAATTTCAATTTGGGAATCTAGGGTTTCTGGATTTTTCTAGAAAAACATGAGGTCGCTTGGAATTTGTTTGTTTCAATCCTTAATCGTACCTTAAATCTATTGATATTAGTTGAAATGTGTTACTTTTTGTTTGCATTTAAGTGCGTATTTTGAATGCTTTGTTTGAATACTTGAATTGAACTTGATGTTATGCTTCAATAGTGGGAACTTTAACGAAGTACTGTTCAATTTCATCAGATGGTCAATTCATGGTGGTCGCGGAACTTGCAGATTTTGTGCATATATATAGCACACAGGCATATTACAAAGTGCGGCAAGAGATTGATTTCTTTGGGGAGATATCTGGTGTATCAATGAGTCCCGATGACGAGTCTCTGTATATAGGAATCTGGGACCAAACCATCTGGAGAGAAAAACCAACGACGAGTCAAGATGAGGAAGTAATCTTATCAGTGTTCTAAAAAACACTCAAGGCGACCGCCTAGGCGTTCGGCGGTGGAAGCCCGCTGCAATTTGGGGAAAATCGTTTAAAAAATCGATGGGGACTTAGGCGGCCACCTTGGCAACCGTTAGGCGCTCTAGGCAATCTAGACGGCGCTAGGTGGCGATCTAGGCGATTTGAAATTCTTGTCGTCGCACAAGGTGCTCTGCAACTCTCGCCACCACTGAAGGCTCTGCAAGACTGCAACTCTCTCGCCTCGAACTCTCATAGCATCTGCAACTCCAAGTTTCCAACACCTGCATCGCATCTCACACCTTGCATTTGGCATCTGTACCTACATCGGAAACTATGGCTGCTTGCTAGAGATTTCTGGAAAAACTCAGAAGAGAGAGTGCGAAAAGAGAGAGAGAGAGAGAGAGAGAGAGAGAGAGAGAGAGAGAGAGATGGAGGGAGAGAGAGAGAGGGAGGGAGAGAGAGAGAGAGGGAGAGGGAGGCTTAAGCATTTGAATATGTGGTGGTGCAAGTGCAACCGTGCAAGTGGAGGACTGGGAATCCAAGGTCAAAAGCATGGTTTTAATTATAGAACTATGGACTCTGACATGGTTTTAATTATGAAACCACAAGGTGGACAGGTGATGTGAACGAGTAGAGGTGAGGTGGACAGTTTCATGGTTTTAGTAATGAAAACCACCCACCATGTGGGCTTTTTATATTTTTAAAAGTTTGGTGTGTGTATATATATATACACACACACACACATATATAAATCTTATATAAATTATAAATTATTTAGATAATATTTTGTATTTTTTCCTAGGCAAGTATATCATATATGTACAAAACACATTCACATATGTATCTTCTTTTATAAGAAATAACATATAAGTCAATAATTATTTACATTTGATATAATGAATTTAATTAATTCATAAAATATATAAGAAATTTACCTAAATCCGCCTAGACCCCGCCTAGCCGCCTAGGCGCTAGCCCGCCGCCCGACTAGCGCCTAGCGTTTTTTAGAACCTTGAATCTTATCTCTTGGTTTCGCCGGTTTTAGGGTTGATTTTTGTTTCTTATTTCCTTTGTTTTTGTCCATTGTATGAGAAGTTTCTGTTTTCTCTTCTGTTTTTCTGGGATGGATTGTTGTGTTTTGTGTTGGGAAGAAGGTTGGTGGAGTTGGCTTTTCTCTTCTATTTTTCTGCAGATTCTGATTTCGAGCAGAACGGGAGAAGAAGGGTTATGCTCTCATGTCCTATTTATTTTTTTTATTATTAATATATTTGATGTCGGTTTTATCCGACAGAAAATGCTTTAGTTATTTTTTATTAATATTTCCTGTCAGTTATAACCGACACAAGTTCTGTCAGTTATATATATTTTCTGTCGGTTTTATCCGACAGAAAATGCTCTTATTTATTCTTTATTAATATACTTTCTGTCGGTTATATCCGACACAAGTTCTGTCAGTTTTAGAGTATTTTCTGTCGGAAAATTCATTTCCTGACGCTAGCAATTTTGTTGCTTATTATATCTGCCACTGCATCCATTTTATGTCGGATTTTGCATAATATTTGACAGTAATATATGTTTCTTGTCGGTTTTTGGACCGCCAGAAATAGATAATTTTGTAGTAGTGCTGGACCAAATCATACCCGTCGTTTACATTTATGAGTTTGATCCATGGAAACTTCCACGTAATTCAACATCTCTCTCTCTCCTTTTAATGATTACTTGTTGGATTTATGCTAGCTTCTAGCTTGCCCAGCCATGGAGTTTACACCATATTATAGCTAGTGTTTGCTTTTCATCACTTTCCCTACGACCGTGCCAGTTTTAGGATAATGAATGTTATATATGTTTGTATAGAGCACTAATTTACAGCATCGTGTACATTGTTGATATTCAGTGAATACTGTTCAATTTCCTTTTTTGGTATATATAAAAATTAAAATATGATATATGAAGCTAGTAGTTTGCTAGCTTAGCATGCAATTTCATAATTTACACTTTAATTAATTAATTAGGTTTATAATGAATTAAAAATTAACAGAGGTTGCGGGAGAGGTGAGCCATGGAGATTCAGAGCAGTGGTTCTTTTTCATCCCAAGACCAGAGAGTGAAGCTCGAGGAGGGAGACCGAGACGACTCACAACAATTGGGTATTGGAAAGCATCAGGATCTCCGAGCACTGTGTACTCTTCCAATTCCAATTACAATCGTCCCATCGGCCACAAAAGAACCATGGGTTTCTACATTGGCAGAGCTCCCCGTGGAAAGAAAACCGAGTGGATGATGAATGAATACAAAGCCATCGAAGCTCATGCTGATCATAATAATCAACTATCAATGGCAGCTTCTTCATCAATCCCTAGAACAAGTACTCCTTCTGCTCCCACGGTGAGTATACGTACTAATTAATTTCTTACCTCAAAATTAGCAATGTTTTAAAACTTCACAAACCACACGTCTATTAGAGAGGCTGCCAGCAATCATGTCCAAATAAAATTATAGTTTTCTAGAATTTCATAAACTCAACTGGAATTAATAGTCTAATAACATAATTAATGAAGTTGCTTTGTGTGTGTATAACATACGGTTTTGAGAAATTACAAGTGAATATTCTTGCTCCTCAGTGACATGTTACACCATATATATTCTGAATTGGGCGCACAAAAGAACATTTAATTACTTCATAGAAGGGACACCAACAAAACTGAACATGTTAGTGGTGCCAATAGCCATAACAAGTTAACAGCTGATGAAACCATATGACAGGACCACATTGTTTTTAAGGGAAGTGGCCTAATTGATGGCGTACGGCATTGAGTTTCAGTGCAGTTAACTATATGCATCTAAATCAATTTAACTAACTAAACTTCATAATAATTCATATTATAAATTTTAATGTTGATATATGTTGGCATGCATACATGCAGTTAAGGCAAGAATTCAGCTTATGCCGAGTGTACAGGAAATCAAAATCCCTTAGGGCATATGACAGAAGACATCCAGGGATTGAGATCACAAGAAACCCTAGCTTAAACATTCAAGCAGCTCCTGCTCAGGGTGCAAATCATCTGAATCAATGTTCGACAACGTCGAATAGGAACCCTCAGAATATGGGACAGAGAACAAACTTAAGCTCACTGGAGAGTTCATCCTCAGGAGGCCATGCCTCTCAATCCTCTCAACCCGAACAAAGTGGGATTTTGCCAATGGCCGTTGATGATGAAGCTATTTGGGATTGGGACGAATTAATGGACAACTGGCTTTAAGTGGTGGACAAAAATTGATAAAAGGTTAAGTTTCCACTACTGGAATGTTTAGCTACTAGGAAAATGGATTAATGCAGGTGGAATCATTTGTAGGGTTTATCCATTCTAAGGTAATGTCTGTACTACAATTTGGAAAAGAAAGCCAAATTCATATTGTACGAGATGCCCTCACAAGTCTAACCTATCTTGATGCCTTTTGCTTAGTTTGAAACAAATATACATAGGTTCTTTGTCAAATGTGTTTTCATTGTATTATGTATGTTTCTAATCGGACTATTCTGTATAACCTTGAAAGTTTGCAGAAGTACCTACAGAATTTATCACTTTTTTTTACATTTATGTGTTGGTAATATTAGAATGATGGGAATTGTTATGATTTGGAGTCCAACTGATACAAGTATTCACTGTATTAACTTTTATATCAAGTGCACAAAACTGATATTTTGTATAAGCAAAAGTTTTGATCAAATTCTCTTTTGGAAGTGATTTTTGCTTTTCTGTTTTCTTCGTGTACACTCTTATGTGTTTTTTATCTTTTAAATTGATTAAATGAAAAGAAAATCAAGAAACCCAAACAAGAGAATGAGTCAAAGAAAGAGAAAATAACTTTATTCAGCAACACCTCAAACTCTTTTGCATGAGTTATTCCTATTGATAACGGTAAGTTCAAAGTATCAACAATATTAAGAGATGGTGTTTTACCACAGTGGCAGAAAATGGTCTTGTCTATACATTATGATTTTGGTTCGATCCGCACCAATTTTTCTCTCCCCTAACAGCTAACTTTCTAATCATTAATAATATCGCTATTACTAGAAAAGATATCAATAATATTGACGGCCTATATATACATTTGGGTAAAAGGAAGTTGGGAAATGTACAAGAGATATATGAACCTATAAACCCCTCCATCAACGTGAAATTTGGAGGGTGTGTTGTATATGGAGTTCGATGAACCTTGCTTGACTCTGAAATCAAAATGTATTCAATATAGACTTTTAAGGAGTTAATAAAAGTCACCCTCTCACTAGTAGGAAAAACAGCTTGCGCGATGAGATTTTGCGCGACGAACCATATTTCGTCGCACAAGAGGTACTCACGTGACAGAAAAACAGTTTCGTCACACAAAAAAGATAGGAAAGAAAAAAAATTTGCGCAACGAATACTTGTTGTCGTCGCGGAAAGTCAACAAGAAAATGCAAGGTTTTTTTTTTTTTTTTGCACGAAAACCTTGCATTACAAAGGGTTCGTCACACAAGTTGCTATCAGTTTTCACTCAAACCATTCAATGCAGGTGAATCAAAGGAATCGATATTGCATTTAGTATAGATGTTTGCGTCACAAAGCCTTCGTTGCGCAAAGGCCCTAACCTTCCTATAAATATGCGCTTATGTTCTCCTTATTCTTCACAATTCTATTCGTGATGTGATGGAGGATAAAAACAAGGATCAGAGCATGCCCGCCACCAACCCGTATGATTTGAGGCAACATTTTAAGTTCACGCATGTGATTGTTGTAGCCATGCGGAATAATTGTCCTACTACTGAGTGGCGTTCTCAAAAATGTGCCCAAGAATGTGAAGAAGGCAGTGATGGATGAATTATTAGTAAGTATACTGTTAATGGATCAATAATTAATTTTGTGAAATTGTTTGTTATATGTTGGAATTAATTATTTGCATATATGTGTAACAGTGTAAGTATACTCTTGCTGATGATAAGAACGAACAGTTGATGGAGGTTACAATCAGTGGCGTTATGACGTCGAGCGGAATGGAGGACTATAGAAATAGTAGTTTTAAATTTATGTTTTTGAGGACAATATTTAAATTGAAGGTTGTTTTATAAGTTATGTATTTGGACTTAATTAGGCTTTAATTCCTGTTTGGTTTTTAAAATAATTGAATGGATTAAGGTATTAATTATTTTTAGAATAAATATTTAAGGTATTAATTATTTTTAGAATAAATATTTAACAGAATATTTGTTTGTATATATAAAGTTTACGTAAAAATAGATATCTATATTTATGTAAACTTTATAATTACAATCAATCATGTTCGTCACTAAAGAGATTGCATGACGAAAGTGTTGTAGCGCAAGATCACTTCGCGCAATAAAGAACTTTGTCGTCGCGCAAGAAAACGGTTAGATTGCATTCAAACGCTCCCATTTATTGCGTAGTTATGACACGTTTGCGCGACGAACAGAGGCCTTTGCGCGACTAATGGGTTCGTCGCGCAAAGGGTTCCTATTGCTATATAAACACAGTTTAAGAACCCTAATTTTCAAAAAAAAATTTGTTTCAAAAGCAATGGCCGATTCTGGAGAAGGTTTTGGCAAAAAGAAACTTGTTGTGTGATCAGAGAGGCATCGATGAAAGCAAGTGTCGTACTTTGAAGACAAAAGTATAGCTGAGGAGTACATCAAACTTATTTATGATATTGGCAGTTTGGTGCGGAATGATTGTTCTGCCGAGTTTAAGTCTTGAAAAAAGGTGCCTGAGAAGTTGAAGAAGTCCATGATGGGGGAGTTATCGGTAAGTTTGTATTAAATAATGTATAATTATTTTTGTTAAAATGTAGTATTTTTAAAATTACAAATTTATTGTTATTGGCATAATGTAGGTTCTTTAGGATGTTGACGAAACCGATGAGAAGCAGCGGAAGGTGGAGGAGGCTTGAATATATATAAAAAAAAAAAAAAATTTTGAAATAAGATTTTGTGGACTTTATATTTACTTTAATTAATAAAATTTATGCTATGTGGATGAGTATTAATATTTACATTAATTGTAATTTGTATTTGGGATGGTAAATTAGTTTTGTTAATTAATTTAATGTTTAATTAGGTTTGAGTTTTTTATTTAGATTAAAATAAAAAATTACATTACATAAAAAGAAAACGGAAAAACATAAAAAAAATTAAAAAATATGCATTGCGAGACGAAACATGTTTTTGTCGCGCAATTTGTTTAAAAAAAAAATTATAAAGTAAAGGAAATAAAATAAAAAAATTGTAAACTGGCTTGATGAATACATTGTTTAATCACACAAAGGTTATTTGTGCGACGAATGAACTGTTAGTCGCACAAAATCATTCGTCCAAAAGTTAACTTTATAATTTGGATTCAGCTGTGCATAAGCAAACTGTAGTAAACTACAGATTTAGCCTCTGCACTCATCCACTTCGATTTTCCTCAATCCGGCATCCGTCATTTCCATTTTCTCTCAATTTCATCATCTAATACTCCCTCCATCTTCTTCTCCAGGTTGATCGAGCTATCTCGGTGTGTCTGGTAAGCTTTTTTTTTGTTAAGGTAAAAGTAATAATGTAAATTCATACTAACGCCATGAATTTCGTTGTCTATAAGGATATTGTGTGTGATTAGCGATTGGTGAAGAACGATTGAGAATGTATTTTCTTCGTTTTATTTTAAAAAATATATATCAAATTAATTAAAAGGAAGACTAATGAAAAGGACTTGAAAACTTTGAGTTTTAACGATAAGGACAAAATAAAGGGTAAAGTGAATAATATCAGGTTTGACTTTTTAGTGTAAAAATGTGGTTTTTCGTTAAAGTGAACAGTATTGCGGGCTTTTTGTTAAAACTCCCTTAATTAAATTATGTTGAACTTGTGTTGTTATGTTTGTATTGTGTTGTGAAATTATATTTATATTATGTTGTTAAATTTGTACGTAACGTACAAATATGTGTTGTGATGTACGGAGTTAATTGTAATTAACTTCGTACTTATTTTTTATTTTTAGTAAAACTTAGTTTCTCATTCGAGAGGATTAGTTGGATTTCGCGCATGGATGCAAAAGCATGACTGTGGTCCAATTAATTCTTGAATTGTCCCATTATTTGGACAGTTTGGGAATGCACAATTATGGCGGTTAGTTTATGGTTGAAGGATTAGGTTTCGGTTGTGGAGATTTCAGTGTCATCTCTATATGTCTTCGAGTGGCACATAGGTATTTGATATCTACGTCGGCCATCTAAAGAACTGTACCGAGATGCTGACGAAATTCATCCACATCGAAATCTAATCTGATGTAGCCGTAAATTATGTGACATAACTATGCATTCTCGAATGGGATAGGGCCCTTACCGGAGGCATAAAGTGACACTATCATTTGTATGAAGTTGTTGTGATTGTTGTACTGTTATTGTGGTTCCAAGAATTATGAACAGGACGTGGATACAAAACCCGAATAGATGTGCGGACGAATCCTTGGATGGATTCAAGGATTTTATTGACTTTGCACGTACACACAACCCGGGTGCAACTAGAATCCGGTGTCCTTGTAGGAGGTGTAACAACACGTTAAGGGAGACAATTGAAAATGTTCGATTTCATTTAGTAAGGAATTGAATGGTTGAGACAAATAATACTTGGAACTATCATGGGGAACAATTAGACAATACAAGGCCTTCAAACACCACAAGAATGGACAATGTTGAACTATTGTGGATCCTAATGAACAAGTCATGGATATTATAAATGATGTTATTCCATTTGCATCAACAAACACCAATCAGGAAGGGGAAGATGACGTGCCTACACTAATGGACAGTGCAAAGTTCAAACAATATGAAAAACTATTTAAAAAATGCCAACCAAGAGTTATACCTGGGGTATGAGAGCTTTTCGGTTTTCACGGCCATTGTGGAACTAATGCACGAAAAAATAAAGTATCGTATATCGAACCAGTGTTTCGATTACTTTTTGGGGGTTTTCAAGAGAATGCTTCCAAATGACAATTGTTTGCTAAAAGACCATAAACATGCGCAAAAGGTGTTGAATGGTCTTGGATTGGGTTATGAAAAATTTCACACTTGCAAAAACAATTGTATTTTATTCTACAAAGAGAATAAAGCATTGGATAAATGCCCTTATTCAATGAGTCAAGGTTCAAAATGACATCTCAGAATAGAATGACTAAGATCCCACAAAAAATCATGCGTTATCTGCCTTTGAAACCTATGTTGCAGCGATTGTATATATCGACGCATACTGCCACTAACATGAGATGGCATAAGGAAAAATGGGTAGACGACGATGTGATGAAGCATCATGCAGATGGGGATGCATGGAAAAAGTTTGATCGAACATTTCCTGAGTTTGCTGCTGATCCCTAGAATGTTAGATTGGGATTTTCCACTGACGGATTCAATTCGTTTCGGGTTCTAAACCGACACCACAGCACTTGACCGATTTTCGTATTCCTCTATAATTTTCCCCCTTGGAAATGCATGAAAAAAGAATACATGATGATGACTCTTTTGATAACTGAGGATCCTGGAATGGGCCGTTGGTTGATGAGCTAAAGAATTTATGGACAAATGGTGTGC